TTTGTGTAGGATTGAAATATAATGTCTACTAATCGTGATGCTCAAAGATCTAATAAAAATATTTAAAGAACTTATAATTTATAAACACTGTATATGTTTTTCAATTGATATTTTTCTTATGGTCTGTATGTATTGTACATTAATTATCCTTGATTTTGAAGTTCAATGACATTTTTATTTCTCTATTATCATTCCTTATATTTTTTAAAGCAGTAGGAAATATATGTAAAGTAGATAAAAGTTGAGCTTTGATTTTTTTAGCGACGAAATTGCATAACATCATAGGCACAAACGGGACCATCATAAACGAGTAGAGTCGGGTCAGCTTCATTCTTGAATCTCTTCCAAAGGCCTTCCAGAAATTCCGCAGTAATGCGATCATGAATAAGCTGGAGTATAGTCTTACCATGCTCTTAAATAAGTTGCAGACCTACCAGTCTCTTATGGAAAATAAGGGACAGGAAGGGGAGGCACAAAATACCTGGCCAAGACGAAGAAAAGCAACGAAGGTAAATATGATGTACTTGTTTTGGAAACATGTTTAGTGGATAATGATGACTTCGCCTGAATATTAGATTCATGAGCCACTAATCAGCTTCATTCTTGAATCTCTTCTAAAGACCTTCCTGCAATTCTGCAGCAATGCAGTCATGAATAAGCTGGAGTATAGTCTTACCACACTCTTAAATAAGCTACAAACCTACCAATCTCTTATGAAAAATAAGGGACAGGAAGGGGAGGCACAAAATACCTGGTCGAGAAGAAGAAAAGCAGCGAAGGTAAATATGATGTACTTGTTTTGGAAACGTGTTTAGTGGATAATGATGACTCCACTAGAATATTAGATTCATGAGCCACTAATCATGTTTGTTCATCATTTCAGGGAATTAGTTCTTGGAAGCAGCTTGAAGTCGGAGAGATGGCTCTCAAGGTCTAAATAGGAGAAGTCGTCTCAGCTGTGGTGGTAAGGGAGCTCAAGTTGTTTACAAACAAGAATTTGTATATATTATTAGATAATGTGTACGTAGTTCCAAAAATCAAAAGGAACTTAATTTATATTTCTTGTTTGTTACAACATATGTATTTCATTTCCTTTAATTTGAATGAAGCGTTCATTTCTAGAAATGTTGTGAATATTTGTTCTGCTGAACTTGAAAACAACTTGTATATGTTAAGACCAACCATTACTAAAGTAGTTTTAAATATTGAGCTGTTTAAAAATCATAAAACTCAAACAAAAAGGCAAAAAGTTTCTCCTAAAGAAATTATCTATCTTCGACACTTAAGATTAGGTCACATTAATCTCAAAAGGATTGGGAGGTTGGTTGAGAATGATCTTCTAAGCGAGTTAGAAGACGACTCTTTACCACCATGTGAATCTTGTCTTGAAGGCAAGATGACTAAAAGACTTTTTTTACTGAAAAAGGTTATAGAGCCAAAGAGTCCTTAAAACTTATATATTCAAACCTTTGTGGTCTGATGAATGTTAAAGCTCGAAGAGGGTATGAATACTTCATCTCTTTTATAGATGATTGTTAAAGGTATGATTATCTATACCTAATGCAACACAAGTCCAAAGCCCTTGAAAGGTTCAAGGAGTACAAGACCGAAGTTGAAAATCAATTAGGTAAAACCATTAAAACATTTCGATTTGATCGGGGTGGAGAGTATATGGACTTGAGATTCCAAGACTATATGATAGAACATGGAATCACGTCCCAACTCTCAGCCTCTGGTACACCTCAACAGAATGGTGTATCAGAAAGGAGAAACAGAACCCTGTTAGACATGGTTCGATTAATGATGAGCTATGACAGATGGATCAAGGCTAATGGCAAGACCAATGTCTACATCTTGACAAACATATCTGATGTGCTGGCCAATAAGCATGAGAGCATGGTCACCGCGAGGGACATCATGGACTCATTGTAGGACATGTTTGGACAACCATCCATTCAAGCCCGGCACGATGCCCTAAAGTTCATTTACAATTCCAGCATGAAAGAGGAAACATCAGTGCGAGAATATGTTCTCAACCTGATGGTCTACTTTAATGTGGCTAAGTGAACGAGGTCATCATAGACGAGGGGAGTCAGGTCAGCTTTATCTTGAAATCTCTTTTGAAGAGATTACTTCAATTCCGCAGCAATTCTGTGATGAACAAGATATAGTACAACCTTACCACACTCTTGAATGAGCTACAGATCTTTCAGTCTCTTATGAAAACTAAGGGACTGGAGAGGGAGGCAAACGTTGTCACCTTAAAACAGTTTCATCGAGGTTCGACCTCGAGAACCAAATTTATGCATTCATTTTTTGGAGTAAGAATTTTAACAAGAAGAAGAACAGTAGTTAGGGGGTGAAAGCTGACCCTGCTGCCTCTACTGTTGCCGGAAAGAAGGGCAAGGCCAAAGTTGCAGACAGAAGAAAATGTTTCCATTTCAACGTGGATGGACACCGGAAAAGAAACTACCTGAAATACTTGGTCGAAAAGAAGAAAACCAAAGAAGGTAAATATGATTTACTTGTTCTTGAAACTTGCTTAGTGGATAATGATGATTCTACCTGGATATTGGATTTAGTGCCCAGTAACCATGTTTGTTTTTATTTTAAGGGAATTAGTTCTTGGAGGTAGCTTGATGCTGGGGAGATGACTCTCAAAGTCGGAACAGGAGATGTCGTCTCAACAATCGCATTGAGAGACCTAAATTTGTTTTTAGACAAGATTGCATATATATTATTAGATAATGTGTATATAGTTCTCAAAATAAAGAGGAACTTAATTTCCATTTCTTGTCTACTGGAACAATGCTATTTCCTTTTCATTAAATGAAGTGTTCATTTCATAAAGTGTTTTGAGAAACTCGAAAACAACTTATATGTGTTAAGACCAACCATAACTACAACAATTTTAAATACAGAGTTGTTTAAAAAATGCTAAAACTCAACACAAAAGGCAAATAACTTCTCCAAAAGAAAATACCTATATTTGGCAGTTAAGATTAGGTCACATAAATTTCAATAGGGCTGAGAGATTGGTTAAGAGTGGACTTCTAAGCGAGTTAGAAGATGACTCCTTACCTCTAAGTGAATTTTGTCTTGAAGGCAAGATGACTAAAAGACCTATTACTAGAAAAGGTTATTGAGCCAAAGAACCTTTGGACCTTGTACATTCAGATCTTTGTGGTCTGATGAATGTTAAAGTCAAGGTAGGGATGAGTATTTCATATCTTTCATAGATGATTATTCAAGGTATGGATATCTCTACCTAATGCAACATAAGTCTGAAGCCCTTGAAAAGTTTAAGGAGTACAAGACTGAAGTTGAGAACCAATTAGGTAAGACGATAAAAACACTTTGATCTGATCGGGGGTAGAGAGTATATGGACTTAAGATTCCAAGACTATATGATAGAACATGGAATTACATCCCAACTCTCAACACTTGGTACACCTCAACAGAACGGTGTATCGGAAAGGAGAAATATAACCCTGTTGGACATAGTTCGATCTATAATGAGCTATTCTTAATTGCCTGTCTCGTTTTGGGGTTATGCAGTAGAGACAGCAGTATACATTTTGAACACAGTTCCATCAAAATATATTTCTGTAACACCTTTTGAACTATGGTAGTTAGGCTATTCGTAGGTTACCCCAATGACAAGCCACCTAGGTTGATTAACTTGTGTTGGTCTACTCGAGCTGTCGACCTGAGGTGGTTAGGCTAGGGATGGTCGTGCCCGAGATGGTCGTCTTGGGCTTGTTGGCTTTTAATGGTCGACCCGAGTTGGTCAGCTTGGGTTGGTTGACCTGGTCTGGATGGTTTCGGGTGGTCAACCCGAGTTGGTCAGCGAAGGTTGATTCCTTAGATGCTCTTCCTAAGGGGCATTGAGCCCGTGCTTGTCACTTGTCGGATTGGTTGGCATGGTTTGGTCTGGCTTGAGTTGATTGGCTTGCGTTTTCGACTTGTGTTTGTCAACTTTAGGTGTGTTGGTCAACCTGGATTTGTTGGCCTAATTTGGTTGGCCCAAAAAGCATCTTACAACTTCTTATGACATAAAAGAAGATAACCACGCATGAGGGTGCAAAGAATAGTGAGAAATACCCGGGAAAATCTTAGCATTATTTTAGGAAACTCAACAAAAATTACCTACCAACTAATATTTCAAAACTCATTTTAAAATTATTTTAGACTTTCCAATAATCAATATTTTCCGGTCAAACATGATCATTTTAAAATAAAGTGATTTTTGACAATGACAAAAATGGCAAAAATTCTCTCAAATACACTTTATAAAATAATTTGAAAGTGATTTTTGATAGATCATTTCAAAATTACTTTTTGGAAAGCAACTTTCAATGTTTCTAAAAAGGCGTTTTAAATCAATTTGATTTTTTTAATTGTACTGTGAGTATTCTAATTAGCTTAGCTTACACACCTACTAGACCAAAAAGTCTCTTCTCAAAGTCTCATTGCAATTAGGCCAACCTACGACTAAAATGAATTCTTTTTTTTTTTAATTGGGTCTTACTTGTAATTAAGCAATTAGTGAATTTTTTTCCTAATTTTTTGGGTACATAAAACCAAATAAATAAATACACATGCATATATGTATATTATAGTTAAACTTTAACTTTTCAAATTTATTGTATATGAGTCTCTAAACCTTAAAATTGTATTTTAATCTCTAAATGTGTAAAATATAATCATTTTGGTATTTCTTATATTATTTTGCATCTAATAATATTCACCTTTTGAATACGCTCCTACAACCTATGTATTTTACATAGAGACTCATGTTAACAAGTTAGTATACACGTTCAAAAAAAAAAAAAAGGAAAAAAAGGTTTGTATACCTGCTCAAAATCATGTTACCAATTTGTTAGACAGTAAAATAAAAGTAAAATCAAAATAACTACTTCAAAAAATAAAGTTTAAAAACTAATTTAAATTGGACATTTTAAAATTCAACCACCAAAATGAAGTCAGAGAACCAAAATAGGTATAAAAATGAGATTTTATAGCTTAAACTTTCTAATTGATTAGAAAGGGCAAACGCTCCAGGGCTTTGGAATCAATGGCTAACGGAGTCGGCTCCCAAGTGTTCATCAGCAGTAGATCTCTCTCTCTCTCACTATCTCAAGTCTCAAATTATTTTACGGCAATGGTTTCCCATAAAAATTTGGCAAATGGATGTTTTTTTTTGGCCAGGACTGTCGTCATACACAACCATCGAACGACTCAAGAGTCTGTTTTCAGTCTTCGGTGCAGTGTCTGAAGGTACATCTCTGTTTCAATATGTTTTGTTTTTTCCTTTCTCTGCACTCCATGATTGAACGAACACTTGGCTATGGCGGCGATGCGCAGCTCGGCTTGTCAGAGACCCCAAAACCCATAGGCCCAAAGGCTTCGGTTTCGTGACATTTCAGTCGCCGGTTGAGGCCGAGAAGGCTATTCGAGCCATGAATGGTCGGGTATGTATCCTCCCTGCTTATGCACATAACATGTTCGATGAAAGTTCTGAATGAAATCTGATGTCAAACTTATAATTTTTCTTTGGAGAAATGATGCAGATAGTTGACGGAAGATTGATTTTCGTTGAATTTGCAAACACAAGGGGACGTGGGGTACATTGATTTTCTTTTCGCTTAACAGAGCTTCTCAACTCTGTCAACTTTTTCCTAAATTTCAAACTCAACTTTTTCCCAAATTTCAATGCTTACTATTAACGTCTAATCTCTTCCGAGATTAACGTGGGATTGTTTAATTTATGTGTGATTTTCCTTTTTTCTTTTTGTAAGTCTCTATTGTTTTCAAAGTTTTAATTTGGTTGTTTATGTTTTACCATTTTTCAATTTTATTGTTTTTGTCAAGGGATAATGCTTGAGTTCAGGGGGTGGTTTGTACCATTTTCCCACAAATTTATGATTTAATATTTAAGGTATGTTTGAGCCCGAAATTGATGAGCTCAGATACAATTTAGATCGGTACGTTCAGGACGAATTATGGCCAACGGTCCCACACCTTGCCTGAACACTCTTGAGACCTGCAAAACAAAGTTAACACTCCGACGAGCAAGTTAGTTTTAGTCCGAACTAACTTGCCGAGTCTACTTAGGATTGCGTACCGTGCATTTAAGGCAAGAGTTTCTATTTATAGAAACTGGGCCCGACAGGGATTCTGACACACCCTAAAATCGCGGCGTGTTGTCGGGTACGGAAGAGACATTGTTACGGACTTTACCTCAGGTCGGCTCGGTACTGTAGGTCCTACCCTTACTGCCGACCTGAGTGTCTAGAAGTCAATTTCTACATTTCGTTCGCGTGTTCACCCAACTCACTTTTCTGATCATGACACGTGGCAGGCCAGGATTCGCCTCCAACATTGGCCCCCACTTCGGCGGGGCGGAGGTCGGCTCGGCGAAGTC